GGTTATGATACATTATGTGGAAATAGAGGTAATCAATTATCTGCTGGACAAAAACAAAGAAGTAAGTTTATAAAATAATTTTCCATTTTATAATCTATAGTTTAATTAATAATAGTTGTCATAGCTCGTGCCTTAATTCGTTCTCCAAATATTCTTCTTTTTGATGAAGCAACATCAGCATTAGATAATAAGAGTGAATCAAAAATTCAAGAAGTATTAGAAAATATAAGTATGAATCGAACAAGTTTGACAATTGCTCATCGTTTATCAACAATTCAAAATTCAGACAAAACTATTGTTATTGATAAAGGTCAAATGCAGGAAGAAGTAAGCAGAATAGAATCTTGAACAATAAAATTGTTTTGATAGTATTAATTTAGGGTACACATAATGAATTATTGATATTAAATGGAATCTATTCAAAGATGATTAAATCTCAAACTAAATCAACTTAGCAGCTTTTTCAATGAATTACTAAGACATATATTGAGCAACTAAACTTGTTTTATTTTTGTACAAAACTTATAATTTATATTTTTTTTATTTTAAGCCAACGTGCCAATACATTTGCGAATAAATATCAAAATCTGTTGTTGTTGGTTATATAATAAAAGATAATAAACAATATATTTTTTGATAATCTCGATATACATTCTAATTTGAAGAGAAAAATATTGATTTCTAGAATAATTGTTATCTTTGTTATATTATTGAGCGTGGATGTGGGTGTGAGTATGCGTAATATATCCATCACAAAATCACACCCACACCCACGATTACTGGAAACAATTTCTCGAGGTTTTAGTATTATCAAATAGAGCCTCTTATTATTCAGCGTCACCGGCAAGACTTTTTCACAGTGTTGATACTACCATACAAAACCTTCTCTAGTTCAATCGTACCGAAAAGAAATTTCTCTCAGATTTACTATTGTTATATAAAATATCAGCATAGTTTTACACGCACCACGGATTAACAAAATACTTCTGCACAAACTCCTTCATTTTAATTAGCATCATCCTCACGTCATACACCAATATCCAAACTAAAACTATTATCACCATACACATTAAGTATGAGAACCAATAATTTTATTGACTGTTTTTGCAAAGCTTACAAAACAAAATGCAATATATACGCATCATCATCAATACCTATGTATTTGTCATCAAAAAATATCTAATAAGATCATTCAGCTTTTTCCGCTTTATTCCGTCTAATAAGCTCATTGATTTCACCTCTCGTTTGTAATTTGATTTTATTGCAGTTGAGAAATAGTGTGGTGAGTGTCTTCATGAAAAAGCGTGGATAGAGACATTGTATAGATAAAAAGAGAATGAGAATTACTGTGTTGTGTCGTAATCCATCACTCAGATATTGTGCGCCAACATCTCCAATATTGTTATTTCTGAGATATAGTGTGGTCAGTGTCTTGAAGAAAAAGTGTAGATAAGGACATTGTATAGATAAAGAGAGAATGACAATTACTGTGTTGCGTCGTAATCCATTAGCCATACCTTGTGCTCCAACAGCTCTAATTTCATTATAACCGACATAAAGTGTGGTGAGTGCCTAAATGAAAACTTGTAGATAAACATATGGCATGTATAAAGAGAGAATGATAATTACTCTGTTTTCTCGTAGTGCATCACCAAGATGTTGTGCTCCAAGATCTCTAATTTTATTAGACTCGAGATTTAGTGTGGTGAGTGTCTTGATGCAAAAGTGAAGTAAAAGACATCTTATAGATAGAAAGTGAATGAGAATTACTGTGTTTTGTCGTAGTGCATCACATAAATGTTGTGCTCCAACATCTCCAATATTATTAGATTCCAGACCTAGTGTGGTGAGTGCCTAGATGACAACGTGTAGATAAAGACATGGTATGAATAAAGAGAGAATGAGAATTACTCTGTTGCGTCGTAGTCCATCACTCAAATGTTGTGCTCCAATATCTCCAATATTATTATCATGAAGATTTAGGGTGGTGAGTGTCTAAATGAAGATGTGTAGATAAAGACAAGACATGTATAAAGGGAGAATGTGAATTACTGCGTTGTATCGTAATACATCACTCAGGTGTTGCGCTCCAACATCTCCAATATAATTAGATTCAAGAGATAGTGTGGTGAGTGTCTTAATAAAAAAAGTGTAGGTAAAGACGTGGTATCGATAAAGAAAGAATGAGAATTACTGTGTTGTGTAGTAATGCATCATCTAGATGGTGTGCTCCAGCATCACCGATTTCATTATCTCCGAGATCTATTGTGGTAAGTGTCTTGATGAAAAAGGGTAGATAAAAACACCGTATTCATAAAGAGAGAATCACAGTTACTGTATTGTATCGTAATCCACCAGCTAGATGTTGTGCTCCACTATCACCGATTTTATTATCTCCGAGATATAGTTCGAGGAGTGCCTAGATGAAAAAGTATAGATAAAAACATGACAGAGATAAAGAAAGAGTGAGAACTACTGTGTTGTATCGTAATTCATCACCTAAATGTTGTGCCCCAACAACTCCAATTTTATTAGATTCGAGGCCTAGTGTGGTGAGTGTCTAGATGAAAAAGTGTAGATAAAGACATGGTATCGATAAAGAGATTACCGTGTTGTGTCGTAGTCCATCACCTAGATGTTGTGCTCCAATATCTCCAATATTATTAGACCCGAGTTCTAGTGTGCTGAGTACCTAGATGAAAACGAGTAGATAAAGACGTGGTATCGATAAAGAGAGAATGGCAGTTACTGTGTTGTGTCGTAGTCC